AATAGAGAGGTGTAATAATAAATTGTCCAATAGAGAGGTGTAATAACAAATTGTCAAGTAAACACGTGTAATAATAAATAGACTAATAGAGAGGTGTAATAATAAATTGTCCACTAGAGAGGTGTAATAACAAATTGTCGAGTAAACACGTGTAATAATAAATAGACTAATAGAGAGGTGTAATAATAAATTGTCCACTAGAGAGGTGTAATAACAAATTGTCGAGTAAACACGTGTAATAATAAATAGACTAATAGAGAGGTGTAATAATAAATTGTCCAATAGAGAGGTGTAATAACAAATTGTCAAGTAAACACGTGTAATAATAAATAGTCTAATAGAGAGGTGTAATAATAAATTGTTTAATACAGATGTTGTCCAATAAGATGTTATTCGCGAGAAGGAAAAAGTTTCAGGTCGCATCCAGAGAGCGGCCAGGTGAGAGAAAGAAAGAGAGAGAGAGAGAGAGAGAGAGAGAGAGAGAGAGATCCCTCTAGCTATCCTCGGCGCTCGATCACGGCCATGATGGAACCACGAAAGAGGCTCACCTGGCACGTCGAGGCACAAAAGGATCAAAGAGGTTCGCCCCCCTTTCGCTCGGTGTTACGGGGCACAGACTGTAGCCTCTCTCCTTCGAGCTGAGTAGCCGTTTCTCTCCATCTCTCTCTCTCGCTCTTTCTCCATCTCTCTCTCTCTCTCTCTCTCTCTTTCTCGCCATCTCTCTCGCTTCATTCCTTCCACTCCCATAGCAGAGGCCGCATACCTCCTTAGGATGCAGTGTAGACCTGTCCATTGGCTGGCAGACATCGGTTCTTTTCCGAAACGGCGACGGCGACGGCGACGACGACGACGAAGGTGGACGAGGACTCATGAAACCGAGAGGATAGGGACTGAGGGAGCCGGCGGGATCGGATAGTTGTTGCGAGAATAGCGAGCCCGGCTGTGCGTCATGAGGTTCAGTGAATACGTGAACGTTCCTTGAACTGAGAAGAAGCTTGAAGTGTTGCTCTCTCGGCGACGCGAGCACCGTCCGCGGAGTGAGAGACCGAGGAGAAAGAAAAGAGCGAAAAAACACACGTGCCGCGATGAGCTGATACGCGACGCGGTGCTGCGAGGACGTAGGATCTTGAACCGACTTTATGAGGTAAGGACCTTGGCGGATCACGTTTTTCGTGCCGTGAAAAACACCGCTGTAACGGACTGACACTGTGCGTCACGCCGCCGGTACCGAGCGGTGGCCACGACCACGACGGACACCCGAATTCCCTCGAAATTAGCGGCGCTCGTTCGGAGAAAATCTCGGACGAAGTATCCGAGCGATCCGGGCTTGTGTCAGTTTCGTGCGACTGGTTCCTCGTACTGCAAAGTGTCGTGCCGATGGTCGATGCTGTTTTGGATTACTTTTAACAGCTCGGCCGCCGCGGTAACTGCCTTGATCATTTTTTAACGTTGATGTTGTTCGTTGAAACAATTCAATGATGACAGGTGAAGGCTGAATGATTCGATGAATTTTTTAGCGTGGTTGGGAGGCGATATGGTAATGATAAAATGATAATGTTTACATGATAATGATGAAATAATAATACTTAAATGACAATGACAAAATAATAATGATTACGTGATAATGATTTAATGATAATGATGAAACGGTAATGATCAAATGACAATGACAAAATAATAATGATTAAATGATAATGATAAAATGATAATGATGAAATGATAATGGTGAAACGATAATGGTGAAATGATAATGACAAAATAATGATGATAAAATGACGATGATAAAATGATAATGACGAAATGACAATAACAAAATAATAATGATTACATGATAATGATGAAATAATAATACTTGAATGACAATGACAAAATAATAATGATTACGTGATAATGATTTAATGATAATGATGCAATGATAATGATTAAATGACAATGACAAAATAATAATGATTAAATGATAATGATACATTAAAGATTATTCTGATAAATGATATTAATGATTTTAATGTTATTAATGATGATCACGAAAGAACCCGTTAAAGTCAATAATAAAATATAATGATAACAGCGAATGAGATGTAAAACCAATGATAAAAACACATTGATAAAATAACAACGATGAAAGACGCAGCAAGAATCTTCAATAAAAGACAGTGATAAAAATCCAACGATAAAAAGACAATTAAAAATTAACAACAGTAATAAAACAACATGGCCACCTGAAAATCCATCTTCAAGTCTGCGTAATTAATCGAATAAAATTAATCGAATAAAATACCATATAGGAGTTAAAGCGGCAGCCGAAGTGTTAAGAGCCCCGTTCTTCCCATGCGGGCATACAGATCTCCGAGCGAACCGCGAACGAAATGGTACAATGACAATGCCTCGAAGCACGCGGATCTTGCCGAACTAATACAATCCCTCCGTTTTCGCCGCCCTCCGCACCGCCCCGCGTTCCGCCGGGAACCAGTCTGACCGGCGCGCGAGTGGGCTAGGCGCCGAAGTCTCCCGGGCTTCGTAGAACCGGTGTCAAGTTCGTGAAACAGGAAAATCGCTCGCACACGGAGCAACAGCTTTCGTAGATTCCTTCGTCGAATCGTTTTTTCTTTTTTTTCCCTTATTATTATCGGCGCGCAGCCTTGACCCCGCATGGGAAATCCGATTGGTGTTTTCTAGGCGTTCGAGGACACAGTGCCATTTTGTTTCTGTGGCGCATTTGTCACTGTCGGTCGAACGGGTCGGAGATATATTGCTGCGACGTTGTTTGGGAATTCATTTTGTCGGAATTTATTTTGTACTTTAGGAAAGTAGTGATGTAGCGGTTGAGGAGTGGTGTATTTGGTTTTGTAGGTTTTAGAAGGATGTTTTAGGGTTGATTATGGAATGGTGATGTTGCTAAGATGTGCTAAAAGGTTATTATAGATATAGTAAATTTTCTAAAATTGTGTCTCGAGCTTGTTAACAAAAATGGACAATTTGGAAGGAGGGGATGCGATTGTTCGAGCCTTGCGACTCGTTTTTTTTGTTGTTTTTGACAATCGGCGACTATAAAGACGAGCCACGAGGCTCGAATAATTGTTTTTCCTCTTCACAAGTTGTCCATTTTTTATTTAGAAGCTAAAGGACAATTGGGAAGATTTTACTGTATATGTTATAGAAGGATGTGTAGATGTATGATATAGATTGATGTTATAGAAGGATGTATTAGGAGGATGTTATGGATTGATGTTATAGTTGGATGTTAGAGGTTCATGTTGTAGATTGATCCCGTACACAGATGTTATAGGTTGATGATGTAGATTGATGTCGTAGGAGGATGTATTAGAAGGATGTTGCAGATTCATGTTATAGATGGATGTTATAAATTCATGTTGTAGATTGATCTTGTAGACGGATGTTATGGGTTGTAGGAGAAAATATAGATTGATGTTGTAGGAGGATGTATTATAAGGATGTTGTACATTCATGTTATAGATGGATGTTATGCATTGATATTATAGATTGATGTTGTAAAAGGATGTTACGGGTTGATGTTATAGATTCATGTTACAGATGGATGTTATGAGTTGATGTTATAGATTGATGTTGTAAAAAGATGTCATGGGTTGATGTCGTAGATTGATATTATAGAATGATGTTATGGGGTGATGCTGTAGAATGTATTAGAAGGATGTATTAGGAGAATGTTATAATATTGATGTTATAGTTCCACACACACACACACACACACACACACACACACACACACACACACACACACACACACACACACACACACACACACACAAACACACACACACACACACACACACACACACACACACACACACACACACACACACACACACACACACACACANAGAAAGATCTTGTAGATTGATGTTATAGATTCATATTATAGTTGGATGTTATAGGTTGATGTTGTATATTTATGTTGTATAAAAAAAAGGATGTATTAGAAGGATATTATAGATTCATGTTATAGATGGATGTTATGGATCGATATTATAGGATGTATTAGAAGGATATTATAGATTGATGTTATAGATGGGTGTTATGGGTTGATGTTGCAGATTGATGTTATAGTTTCATGTTACAGATAGATGTTATGGATTGATAGATGTTGTTATGGATAGATGTTGTAGAT